TCGGGGGTGGGGCCATCAGGGACACCATCATTAATAACCGTCCCCACAACGGTCGGGGAGCCGGAGCTGCCGGAGGTGCTAGCTCCATCCGAAGAACGGGAGCCAGAGCCAGAACCAGAAGAAGCGCCAGAACCAGAACCCGAAGAGGAGCCCGAACTAGAGTTCGACGAAATCTCCATCGAAGTCGCCATCACAAAGTAGAAAGAATTGGAGGAAGGAGAAGTAAGACCGAATTACCTTGAAAACAGCAGAAACGAGCCGGGAACCTTGTCGACGAGTTGATTGTAGTGCGGTGGAGATTCTAGAGTGAGAAACAAAAATCGGAAACCCTAAGCCCACCAAGGGATCCGATATTTATAATGGGAAGCATCGTTTTGAGAGACCGGTGGAACAGTGACACGTGGCGAGGAGCGTATCACCGAATACGTGTCACATACGGAGAGGAACAGGCGCAATGATGACTTTCCACGAAAGCTGTACCATTTCCGCGGCAGCCGCCACCTAGATCTTCGTGATGCGCCGCCAACGGGTAATGCCAGCGTCAAGAACGTCCCTCTCCTCCGGCTCGGCGGGAACAACCTTCCCACGACAGGAACGTCCCCACCTAAGAAGAGCAATTATACTTCCTTATGTCCTACGCACGCTTGGAACCTCAGAAGTGGGTGACTTGTGTTGGGTTAATGGCCCAATTAGAGGATCGGCCCATTACCCCTTTATTCGGATGAACGTCCAGGCCAATGAGACAGCTTACCTCGACGGACGTCCAACCAGAGCAATGATGGATCACGCCCCAAGGGCCCAAGGTCAGGATGACGAACGTCGCCACTTAAAAGCCCATGACCACGTGGTGTCCAGTCCAATCTATATAACAAAATCTACCAAGGACCAGAGTAAGAACGGCCCACAACACTTTGCAAGTATCACCAGGAGCAGGCCCCAAGCCAGGGAGACGTTCGTCTCCACGGATTGGGCGGGGAACCCAGATTCTGGCAGGAAGCGCATTTAACGCTGGGGATTTGGTGGTTGGAACATCAGCCATTCACAGCTCTCCACATCAGCATGGCCAACTGCCCATTATAAATAGCAGCATTTATTTCATTGTAAAGGGTTGGCAACTTATTAGCCTTAGCATTCTAGCTTATTATTCGCAGCTCTTCTACTACAGTATAGGACGAACGGCTTTCGGCATTTAGCAAGCGTATTGTATCGGGGGTTTATTAGACTTTAATAATACCTGGTCTCTTACTTGCTAATCTCTTTCTTAGCCCATCTTACTTGTTGTTGGATCAATTAATCACTCGCACATAACAATCCACTCGAAATCTTTGGGCTTACGTGTTGGACCCAAAGGTTGAAGGAATAAACCTTAATAGACCTATTAGGCACAACCCATTAGATAGGAAATCACTAAACCCATCGGGCCACCATGCTATTTTAATTACTTCGTATTAGTATTACTAGTATTATTAGTATTATTATTGTTGTGATTATTATTATTAATTATTAATAAGTGTATATATACGGGGGACGGGGCGGGGATGGTGCGGGGGGGGTGCATAACCCATCACTTGCCCCATATTTAAGCGGAGAGGAAATAATTCCCCCATCCCCATACCCGCCCCGCCCCACCACCTGCCCCAACTCTCCCCCATGGGGCGGTTCCCCACGGGGCCCTGCCCCCATTGCCATTCTTAGTCAAGCTCGGATGAATTGAGGAAGTACATAATTTGTTGGTTTTTTTTTTACTCAAGGGGGTATGGGGAGAGGGTCTGGGGTCTGGAGTAATATGGGCTGAAACTCACTCTATTGAGTTTCGAATTTTTATGTGTCTAGCGGGTTTCGAACTCGAGACCTTCCACTATTACAAAGATGAACAATACACATAGGTTCTTTCTTAGATTTTACAACCCTCCGGTCAACCATGAAGTGAACTTAACTAAACCTGCAATAAAGTAAATCTAATCTAAGTTTTAATAAAAACCAAGTTAACCTAAGTGAACCAAATTTCATGCGTAAAATAGTTTTGGAAATAAATAGAGAGAACCTAGGTTCATGCGTAAATAGTGTTTGGAAATAAATAAGGTGAACCTGGGTTAATGTAAATAAATTTTGTTTGGATGAAGGTACTCTAACTCATTTTATGTTACACGAGAACTTAACCTCCAAAACCCCCGCTTCGGAAGTTCTTCAATTTTAGGTTTTTCCAGGTTCTCGGGAGTTAGGTGAGGTTATGGATGTTTTTACTTGGACTGATACTTGCTGGTCTAGTCTGGTCTAGTAATGTCTTGTCTCTTTGTATTTTTATAACTATCCAAGTTTGATCTGGTCTGGCCTGATCTGGTTTGATCTGATCTGGTCTGGTCTGGGACGGATTACAGTCTAAGTAAAAACATCCTAACTCATAACCTAGATTCTTGTTGCAAAAACAAAACAAACGAAGTTAACTAAAAATTGAACCTGCAATAACCTAGGTTAACCCCCAAAGAAACAGTTGTTCACCCTTGTATAAGTATTTGTTATTTTAAAAACTTATTTGTGAAAAATTAGTGTGAAAGTGAAGGGATAAAAATTACAACTTATAATGTTGTTGCACGTGGATGTACTGTCTCGTTAAAAACCTTATCATGAAAAACATAGAGAGATAAAAATCTGATGAAGGAAGAACAAATGGAGTGCATTCAAATACTCCCTTGAATTTATCATAAATTTCGGAGGCGGCGCATGCCTATTTTCTGTACAAGTTATATAAACTTCTTCGGGGGCAATGACTTGGTGAAGAGATTGGCTGGATTTTCGTTGGATATGATTTGTTACGGTCGTCTCCAGTGCCGCCCCATCCAATGACTGCCACCCACATTATCTCACTAGTCTTTGCTCCCTTCTCTAGCCCCCATCTCTACTCTAGCGCAGCCCCCTCCAGATTCTCCATCACACTCCAACCCCAAACCTCCTCTCCATGCTGCCCCTTTCCCTGGTCTTGCACAAACACTACCCGACCGCACACCCCTCCCCACAACCGCCACATATATCTCAAAAAGAATCTTCAAATCCCACCCCTACCCACTGAAAATAGTGTAATCACCGACCGTTGTTGCCTAGCAACAATCACTATCTAGATATCTATGTACTTGATCACATTCAGTTTATATATTTGATATATATTGTATTACACGTTGATGATTAAACATTTCGATTGTCAATGTCTTATTCATAATTGTGTTCCCTTAGACTTATGATGTCAATAAGTAAGTGAGAGCTTATATGATATAACATAAGGTCCACAAATAGCTTCAATCAATGATCATCAAGAAAGGGATATTGATGATATGCGATAGGGTTGGTATGTAGGCTGCAACATACTATTAGAAAGTATAGTTAATCTCACAACTACGAGTTCCTGTAACTCATGATGGTCACATAGATATTCATGATGACATACCCACCGAGAAACCATTTGATAAGTTCTATTAATGTGTCTATGAGATTATCGGCGTATAGAGTAGTGTAATAGTCCTCCAACTTGAGGTCAATACGTACTACATGTGCGGAGTGATGTACTTTGACCATGACCAACGATTCACGATTGCACTCTAATTAGGGTAGACACGACATGCGTTGGGTACATCATGAAGCATATGGAGTACTAGTTGAGGCAAGAAAGAATGCATTCCTTGTAATAGATTAAGAGAGAACATTCTACTTCTCTTATCTAAATGGATCATAAAGTCATTGACCAATGCAAAGATACCAAACATGATCATTATGGATCATGTGAAAAGATTGAGAGACAAAGACTAAGTTATTGGAATAGACACAATATCAAGTTCCAGACAAAGTTGAATGTTTGTTGAATGAAAGGACCATATCACTATGTGCTCTATATTACAGGGAGTTTGAATAGTCCTTGCAAACGTCCTTATATATATATATATATATATATATATATATATATATATATATATATATATATATATATATATATATATTAAGATTGTCTGATAAATCGTCTAGTGATTCTGCTAAGACCTTAATTTGATTAGTGTTTAATATATAAGGCTTTATGGGTCGCACAACAAGTGATTATACATTCCGGTTGAATTGTTAGAATGAATTGAGTATTATTAATGTGATTAAATAGTATTTGATTCATAATGCCAAAAATAAGATGAGTTAAATATTAATTAGATTGATATATTTAATTCATCACGTTGAAGGATTGGTCTATTTGATAGAATTGATTAAGTAAGATAAATTAGATTTATTATACTTAATTAAGATGTATTTATTATTAAATAAAGTTGGTATTTTCTTTTGTAATTTGGAATTAAAAAGAAAATACAAAATCAAATAATAATAAGAATAGAATAAGTAGGGTGGCGTTAGAGCATCTTTACTGGGTCCTCAATTGATAAAAAATGCATTGCCACCTAGATAAAATGACTATTGTGATAAAAAAAACATTTCCAACAAAACTATCTATTTTTATTTGGGTGCTGACTTGGAAGTGGAAAAGATACACACTCTCTCAGAGCATCTTTAATGGGACTATCAATTGTTGAAAAATAAATTGTCACGTAGGTAGAATAGATATTAAGTTAAATAAAAACCTTTCTCCAACGGAACCGTCTACATTTTCCATGGAGCTGAGTTGGAATTTGAAACCGTCCACACCGTAAATCTTGCTAGAAAGGATGACTCAGCAAAAAAATAGATTTATGTTTACAACTTCCGTCTTTTGGAGAACCGTAGGGAGGCTGTTTATTTTATTTTTGCAACTTCCGTCTTCTGCGAAATAAAATTAGGATATTCCGTAGAAACAGTAAATAATTTGCTGCAAATTTTTTGAGAATCCACGATTGTTGTTGGAGATAAAAATTCATTTTAATTGGATTTGTGTTCACGTGAGCTCCATTGGCTGTGCACATCAATGATGTGTCCATTTTTTATGGGGTGCAATTCACATCCCCATTAAAGATGCTCTCATATTGTGTTTATTTGCAGGTGGGCGGGATACCCACAACTCTTCATCACGTTCACATGTAACCCGCAATGGCCTGATATTGTTCGCTACGTTCAGTGTAGAGGACTCACTCCAGATGATCGCCCGGATATCATTTGTAGAATTTTCAAGATAAAGCTTGACATGCTCATAAAAGATGTGAAAGAAAATAAGCTATTCGGTGAAGTTAAAGCTGGTATGAGTTGATTTTTTTTATTAGTTAGTGAATTTTTATTAAATTACATTATTATGAATACTTTTCTCTTGGCCCAATAACTATATTTCCCTTTGATGGTAAACTGATAGAAGGATTATCCATCAATTTTATACTATGTAGTTGTATATACGGTGGAGTATCAGAAACGTGGATTGTCACACGCCCATATTGTTTTATGGTTGCCACGAAGGGACACAGCTATATTGGCATCACACATCGATAACATTATTTCAGCTGAGATTCTGGATGAGAAATGTGATCCTGATTATTATGTTGCTGTCAAAGAATTGATGATGCATGGGCCTTGTGGGCATATGAACCCATCTTCACCGTGTATGGATAATGATCGTTGCACAAAACACTTTCCGAAGAAATTTGTGAACCGTACTACAATTGATTGAAGTGGATTTCCTATTTACAGAAGAAGAGACAATGGAAGGAGTGTATTAAAGAATGAGAACCCCCTTGACAATAGATTTGTCATCCCTCATAACCGTGCATTATTGCTCAAGTACGGGGCTCACAATAATGTCGAGTGGTGTAACCAAATTCGGGCAGTGAAATATACCTCTTCAAGTACATCAATAAGGGCAATGATCGAATTACAGTTGCATTCTCTTAGGCATCCGACAACCGTACGCCAGAAAAAGTTGATGAGATTAAAATGTATTACGATTGTCGGTATATCTCTGCATGTGAAGCGGCTTGGAGAATATTTGGATTCCACAATCATTACAGGGACGTCGCAGTTGAACGTCTAAGCTTTCATCTCCCGGACCAACATAACGTCTACTACAATCCTGAACAATCTGTCACTTCCGTGCTTGGACGTCCTACTATCCACGTTACTAAGTTTCTAGCTTGGATGCATGCAAATAATGTGTATCCTCAAGCTAGGAACTTAACTTATGCTGAATTTCCTACAAAGTTCACCTGGAAAAACAATACATGAGAGTGGGTACCACGACAAAGAGGCACCGCAATTGGAAGACTATATTTCATGCGCCCAGGAGCAGGAGAGAAATATTATTTGAGGATGCTCCTTGGTGTCGTGAAGGGTGCAATGAGTTTTGAAGAACTCAGGACAGTTGATGGAGTCATACACTCGACGTTCAGAGAAGCTTGCTCTGGCCGTAATATGTTAAATGACGATAAAGACTATATAGATGGACTTATAGAACAAAGCCATTGGGCAACTGCGCATGAACTTCGCATCACATTTGTTCATCTTTTACTACAAGAGTCATTATCTATGCCCAGTATGGTTTGGGAGAAGTGTTGGTCCTATCTATCTCATGATATACTCTACACTATTAGGAAGAACCTCAATGATCAAGGTATGTCACGCCCCGGACCTCCCCAGACACGTCAACAACCCGCCGTACAATACGAATAGTCAACCACAGTCCAACACATTCATATTGTACAAGGCGTCTTGAATATCATTCACACACATAACATCCATAAACAAACATAATAAGTAATTCATAACGCAGCGGAAAACATTGTTTAAAACAAAACGGGCCACACAGGGCTATTCATGAGCACACAGGCTCTATAGTAAAATATCCATGAGCATGTTTAATATTGTTCAAAACAGAATGGGGAAAGCACGAACCACGTCTTCTCTCCAAAGGATCACCCGAGCAACGGGCACAGGTAACAAGCTCGAGCTTCAACCTGAAATGGTGGTGGGACGCCCCCGAAGGGGTCAGTACTCTATACGGCTATAAAGTACTGGTGTGGCAGGCATCTAATAGATATACAACAAGTATTTCACACACAAGACCCTCAAATAGGGTGATAATATAGTATAGGCCGTAATCCCAAATTACCCCTTTCAAAATATATACTTACTTTATATAAAGTCAAGTAGTCGGCTCAAAGGCCCATGTTTGTTACAAAACATTTCCCAAACCCCGTGACTAATAGTCACGACAGTACATAGGGTCCAACCCTAATATAACTTCTCCTCTCTAGAGTTCGGCTCGAGTACATCATCATGCACCCGCATCATAGATTTCCTACTTCATACAATTATATCATAGATCTCCTACTTCATGTATTCACCCCATAGATCTCCTACTTCATATAATCACACCATAGATCTCCTACTTCATAAAATCACACCATAGATCTCCTACTCCATGAATTCACAATTGACACTTGAATCTTATTCAAGTTCATCACAAACAAACCCAAACCTTTAAGTTTGATTCTATCGATATTTCGAACAATCCTTAACTAGCATCACAATACTATTAAGATTATTCCTACAACTCATTTACTCTTAATGGTAGCCCCTCCATATCAATAGATATGTGGCAGCCTCCCATGTGCTAAGCATCATCATGCAACTATACATTTACATGCACATAACATTCATACAAGAGTTAGAAAAATCTATTTAACATATTAGCATGTTTCTACCTCATATGACTCCATATTCATCAATATGTTTTCAATTCATGGTCAACTCCATTACTTATCATTCATATCATGTTCAAACATATTTATTCACAAAAACATGATTTAAGCATTTAGGTAATCTCATGCATAACCTACAAGTTGTAAGCAACTAGATGTCGGTCCTCACCTCGATTAAGCTCCAAACTGCCCTCTATCAATCCAGCCACCAAGCCACTGGCCAAAGGTGATTGAATATTGGTTCCTTGCTTGAAATAGGATTCTATACAGCCTCTTCCAAGTGTAGGTTCGTTTCCTATCAAAAGTTATGAAAACAGCCCCCTTAAAGAGGTGTTTTTGGGTGAGTACAATCCATAGCTTTTCAAGGTTCATCAAAGGTTACTATCTAACCTTCAAGACCATGAAATAAGATACTCAAGAACATTTTCCATACTAATAGTCGTGTATAATATCCTTCCTATTCTTTCATGTGATTTAGACCATGAAATGGAAGCTTTAAGGTTCAAACTTACCTTAAGGAGAAAAAAACTGTTTTGCACGTTTGGGTCTGTCTTCGTTGATTTGGAAACCTTCCTCGTATATTCTCTTACCAAGCTGCACCTTTACAGAAACTACGTTTTTAGAGGTTTCCATTGACATATTACACGTTCGATTTGGTTGACAGGAGCTCAAGAAATAGGAGTAACAATCACTAGAATCAATACACAGTTTCGGAATTCAGATTCTCACCTCGATGTATATCCGTCCTTTTTGGGCTGTAAACTCCTCCAATTCTCAAGAATAGCACCTTTTATGAAAGCTCTATTCAATACCTTTCCAAAGACACCTCAAACACCCGATTTGAATAAGTGGTTCTCAAGATATGAGGTGAACAAAACCAACGCTCCCACTGTGCGGCTTAGCGGACAACAGTTTACTTTGCCACTCTCTCGGTCTGTATAACGACTCTTTCTTCTCCAGAAACGAAGCTATGGTGAAAGTACTCTTCAAGAGCTATCCATGGACACCTCAACCACTCAAAATGGATGAGTGTAGCTCAAATAGTGGGAGAGACAAAAAAACCCTCGCGAGTTGTGCGAACATAGTACGAAATAGGTTCCCTTTTGCCATTTTCTCTATGTGCAGCCCCCCATACCTTATGTGTCTCTTCCTCCACCTAAAGGACAACCTACCAGGCCTTCCTAAAGAGTGAAATGAGCTGTAAGGGTCGAGATAATAGGATGGAGGGTTAAATTCATCAAAACATTACAACCACACATGTATGGGCCATAGTTTTGTCTCATGTGTGGTGTTTGATTCTCTTCCACAAGTTTGTCCGCCCAAATGTGTGATAACTGAACATTTTCCTTTGTTTACAGGTCTTCAAGTTGTATGGGATCCTTCCCAAGTGGTCCCAATTGATTTGGGATCAAAATATCTCTTAATACTTCCAAAAGTGGAATAATGAGTTCTATTGTTTTATCTTTTGTCAAAAGATGTATTTTTGTACTCATTATAGTTTATTTAGAACAATTCAACCCTCTACATCATATTATTGATCTCTAATATGTGTAGGGTCATCCCAATAGTTTACATGATGAATATTATAGAAGAAAAACCCTACTCCCATTATTTAGTTCCATAATGTCAAAGATGGGACCGTAGGCATTTGTATTCTTCTCTAATCATCCAATCACTTATTTATGACAACAATATTCATATTGCTGGGCTACTAGCCGTGTGGGTCACCCTTGAGTGGTCCTAGAACTCCATTCTTGAATACTTACTATTTTTAGCCGGTTGGGCCCAAAATAACATTTGGGTTGCCCGACCTTCCTTATTTGGTCTAGGGCGGTTATGAACATTTCTTTACATTGTATTGGGGTCTTATATCTAATAAGATGGCCCAATAAGGTATTTGGAAACCCATCCTTATGATATGGGCCTAAACGATAATACGACTAATCATTCATTACATAAAGCTTTACTCGTTTTACACGTAGTTGATAATAGGAAATTCAACTGTATGAATTGTATTTATTTATTTATTTATTTTTTTAAACCAAAATTCTCAGGTACGTTCGGGTGCGGTGTCACAAGTTCACCCCCCCTTAACGGGAATTTCGTCCCCGAAATTCACAACGTTACTCATGTAGATGAGAATATTACTCCCTGAACATGACTTCTGTTTAAACACCAACCTTGGACTCTGTGGTTCTTTATCACCACCCTGACATAGCTCTTCTGGCTATCCTGCACCGTTTTAAACCCTTCTTGAATCCGTTTCACATTTGACTCGGTGATCTCTACCAATTCAGTACTCTTGAGTTTGGCCAAGCCAACCTCATCCCAGCATAACAGTGTATGATACCTCCTCTCATACAATGCCTCGCATGGAGGCATACCGATGCTTGCCTGATAACTGTTGTTATAGGCAAACTCCACAAGTGCTAAGTGGTTGTCCCAACTTCCTTGGAACTCCAATGCACAAGCCCTCAACATATCTTCTAAGATTTGTATATATGACTCTCTCAGACTGCCCATCTGTCTGTGGAAGGAAAGCAGTACTGAACTTCAACCTCGTCCCCATAGACTTCTGAAATTTTGACCAAAAACGTGATGTGAATCGTGGGTCTCTATCGGATACTATGGTCACTGGAACCCCATGTAGCCTCACGATCTCATCCGTATACAATTTGGCTAACCTCTAAAGTGGGTAGGTAGTGTTGATAGGTAAGAAATGTGCACTCTTCGTGAGCCTATCTACAACCACCCAAACTGCAACATAGTTCCTGATTGGTCGTGGTAAGCCTACCACAAAATCCATAGTCACGTGTTCCCACTTCCATTCAGCAATACGCCTGCTGGATGCTGATGTCCTGCCTTAACTTGTTGACAAGTAAGGCATCGACTGATGTATTCGGCTATTTTCCTCTTCATACCAGACCACCAGTAACTTTCTTTCAAATCACGGTACATTTTCGTGCCCCCCGTGTGCATGGCATAAGCCGATGAATGAGCCTCCTCTAAGATGGACTTTCGGAGCTCATCATCTGGCGGTACACACACTCGGTCATGAAATAACAAGAGACCATCATCTCTCTCCCTGAAATCCTCCACTGGTCCCGCTTGCATGCGTTCCCGGACCTTCATAAGTTCTTCGTCAGTTTCTTGACCCTTCTTGATCTCATCAAGTAAGGTCGGTCTCAACTCGAATCGTGCCAATAATGAACCATTGGTAGATACCTCCAATTGGGCTCTGAATGCCCTCAAACTAGTCAGCAATGCCCCAGACGAACTCTTTCGACTGAGGGCATCCGCTACAACGTTTGCCTTACTTGTATGGTACTCAATAACTAGATGGTAGTCCTTTATCAACTCCATCCACCGTCTCTATCCCATGTTTAACTCTTTCTGAGTAAACACGTACTTCAAACTCTTATGGTCAGTGTATATGTGACATGTCTCCCCGTAGAGATAGTGTCTCCATATCTTCAATACAAAAACCACTGCTCCCAACCTTAGATCATGAGTAGGATAATTTACCTCATGTTTCTTCAACTGTCGTGAAGCATAGACAATTACCCTCCCCATCTGCATCAACACACATCCAAGCCCCTGGATGCTCGCACCACTATAGACATCATACCCCATACCCTGTTCGGGTAATGCAAGTACTGGTGCCTCAGTAAACCTCTTCTTCAGTTCCAAGAACCCCTTCTCGCATCGATCATCCCATACAAACTTAGCCCCTTTTTGAGTGACCTTCGTCAATGGCGACGCCAAAATTGAGGACTTCTCCACGAATTTTCTATAGTATCCCGCTAGCCTAAGGAAGCTGCGAATCTTTTTCGTGTTCTTAGGCCTTTCCCATTCTGTGATAGCCTCGATCTTCTTGTTATCCACGGCAATGCCTGACTCAGAAACTACATGCCCAAGAAAGCCAACCTCTTTAAGCCAAAACTCGCACTTAGAGAACTTGGCGTAAAGTTGCTTCTCGCGTAGTGTTTCAAGAACCAGAACCAAGTGCCGCTCATGTTCTTCTTCACTCCTTGAGTAAATCAAGATGTCATCTATGAACACGATCACACATTGGTCCCAGTATTTATGAAATACTAGGTTCATCAAGTCCATGAACGCCGCTGGGGCGTTAGTTAGCCCAACGACATAACCAAGAACTCAAAGTGTCCATACCTCGTGCGGAAAGCACTTTTCGGTATGTCACTTTCCTTGATCTTAGTTGGTGATATCCTGACCTCAAGTCAATCTTTGAGAATACTGTAGCTCCACGGAGTTGGTCAAACAATTCATCAATCCTAGGCAGATGATACATATTCTTGATGGTAGCCTTGTTCAACTGTCGGTAGTCGATGCACATTCGTAGGGTACCATCTTTCTTTTTCACAAAAAGGACTGGTGCTCCCCACGGTGAATGGCTCGGTCTAATGAATCCGTTATCCAATAGTTCTTGCAATTGGGTTTTCAATTCATTAAGTTCAGCAGGTGCCATCCGATATGGCGGTATAGAGATTGGTTTGGTACCGGGTTCGACCTCGATCACAAATTCAATCTCCCTATCAGGTGGAAGCCCCGGTAGGTCTTTAGGGAAAACATCCGGGTACTTACAAACCACCCTCACATCGTCGATGTTCGTTTCCTCCTTGGTTTTGTCAACCACGTATGCTAGATATGTGTGGCATCCCTTTCTCATCATACTTCTCGCTCTCACGGCGGATATGATACAGCTGTTTGATCTCCCTCGATCACCCTCGAAGCGTAGGGTCTCCCCATCATTGCCTTCGAGTTCAAGAACCTTCGTGTAGCAATCTACCCTAGCATGGTTCCTTTCTAGCCAATCCATCCCTAGGATTGCATCAAATTCAATCATGCTCAGAGGTACGAAGTCACACGTCAAGGTTTGACCATTAACTTCCACCTCACAAGATGGATAGTAACAAGTTCTTTCCACGTCATCCCCCAGTGGTGTTGATACCACTAAGGTTTGAATCAACGGTGCGGATTGCACTTCCGATTTCTTGGCGAACGCTTCACTCACAAATGAACGTTGCGTCCCGGTATCGATAAGGATTCGCGCATCCTTCCCATTAATCTTTAGTGTCCCTACATTCATGAACCATGTAAGACATCTTTCCTACCCTCCCTACTCATTTATAGAGGGTTACAATGTTCACACACACGTTAGGGATCAAGAAAAGGTCTTAACGTCGCAAAACGGTGCGAAAAATCGGTTTTCGGCAATCTGGGTGCCAGGCACGGCGTGCCTGGGGGTAGGCACGATCGTGCCTGGCTTGGAAAAAGCCTAGGGAGATACTGCCATGTAGGCACGATCGTGCGTGCCCTTAGGCACGATCGTGCGTGCCCTTAGGCACGATCGTGCCTGGGCAAAAACAGCCCGAAATTGCCCGAAATCCTCCCGGTTCGACCCCAAAGCTTCGTGCAAAGATCCCAACGATTTGTAACATCAATTTATGGACTAATTAAGGATAAAACACAAGTATACAAGAGGTAATACCTGCAACGGAGTCCGGGTTAGCTTGAGCATCCGCCTCCGTCATCGCATAGACCCTAGCTTGGGTCCTTCCTTGGTTCACGGATGGCGCGTTGCTCGTGCTTGCTCCCCCATGTCCCCTGCTCCCTTGAGAAACCTCGGTTTGGTTTTCATTTCTCGTAGTTCCACCACTTGACCCCGAAGTTTGGTTTTGCACAATTTGTGGGCAGCTCACTCTCGTGTGCCCGACCTCTGTGCATTGATAGCACCTGGGAGGGTCCTGACACTTACCCGAGTGGTGTTTCTTGCAATTGTTGCACTTAGGTACCCTCAGACCTTTTGACCTCGAGTTCTGGCCACCCGAGCCTCGACTCCACTCAAGTGATAGTGTCTGCGCCCTGAAGGTTTTGTCACCCTCAACGTTTGTCCTCCTTGAATGTCTTTGGGAATCGTTGTCTCCCCGCTTCCTTTTCCTTACTAATGGTATGCCCTCAGCTCGCCTAGCTTGGCGTTTTTGTATAAGCCTCACACGTTCACGTTGAAGCCAATCTATGACCATGCCCATTTGTTCATTGGGTGCACCATCAAGATCCTCATCACTCAAATCATCTCCTTCGTCACCCGAAGCCTTGAGTGGTTCAATTTTGCCATGACAAGGTGATTCTTCCTTGGTCTTAACATGACCACCACTCACGATTTGAGCTTCAAGAATTTCGTGCACCTTTGGTCCTAAGGGCTTTTCTCGGTTGGCATGCCCGGTTCCACCCGGTGCAAACCCTTCCGAGTTCTCCCTATTCATAATACCACCATCAACCTCCATCGCTGAAAGAAATAATTAGAATGAGTCATTAGACTCGTTTCAAATGTCAACTGACAGATAGGCACTTAAGACATCTCTTGGGCCAAGTCACCGCCATACCAATCGTTAAGGGCGCCATCTTAACAATTAGAGACCTTGCAACTCAAACACCAAAAGTTCTCAAGTACAAAACATTTTCTATGCTCATGGTTTTCAAAATCATTTTGAAAAAGAAATTTCGAGACTTCATTATGAAGTTTATGGACTAAGGCTCTGATACCAACTTAATTGTCACGCCCCGGACCTCCCCGGACACGTCAACAACCCGCCGTACAATACGAATAGTCAACCACAGTCCAACACATTCATATTGTACAAGGCGTCTTGAATATCATTCACACACATAACATCCATAAACAAACATAATAAGTAATTCATAACGCAGCAGAAAACATTGTTTAAAACAAAACGGGCCACACAGGGCTATTCATGAGCACACAGGCTCTATAGTAAAATATCCATGAGCATGTTTAATATTGTTCAAAACAGAATGGGGAAAGCACGAACCACGTCTTCTCTCCAAAGGATCACCCGAGCAACGGGCACAGGTAACGAGCTCGAGCTTCAACCTGAAATGGTGGTGGGACGCCCCAGAAGGGGTCAATACTCTATACGGCTATAAAGTACTGGTGTGGCAAGCATCTAATAGATATACAACAAGTATTTCACACACAAGACCCTCAAATAGGGTGATAATATAGTATAGGCCGTAATCCCAAATTACCCCTTTCAAAATATATACTTACTTTATATAAAGTCAAGTAGTCGGCTCAAAGGCCCATGTTTGTTACAAAACATTTCCCAAACCCCGTGACTAATAGTCACGACAATACATAGGGTCCAACCCTAATATAACTTCTCCTCTCTAGAGTTCGGCTCGAGTACATCATCATGCACCCGCATCATAGATTTCCTACTTCATACAATTATATCATAGATCTCCTACTTCATGTATTCACCCCATAGATCTCCTACTTCATATAATCACACCATAGATCTCCTACTTCATAAAATCACACCATAGATCTCCTACTCCATGAATTCACAATTGACACTTGAATCTTATTCAAGTTCATCACAAACAAACCCAAACCTTTAAGTTTGATTCTATCGATATTTCGAACAATCCTTAACTAGCATCACAATACTATTAAGATTATTCCTACAACTCATTTACTCTTAATGGTAGCCCCTCCATATCAATAGATATGTGGCAGCCTCCCATGTGCTAAGCATCATCATGCAACTATACATTTACATGCACATAACATTCATACAAGAGTTAGAAAAAACTATTTAACATATTAGCATGTTTCTACCTCATATGACTCCATATTCATCAATATGTTTTCAATTCATGGTCAACTCCATTACTTATCATTCATATCATGTTCAAACATATTTATTCACAAAAACATGATTTAAGCATTTAGGTAATCTCATGCATAACCTACAAGTTGTAAGCAACTAGATGTCGGTCCTCACCTCGATTAAGCTCCAAACTGCCCTCTATCAATCCAGCCACCAAGCCACTGGCCAAAGGTGATTGAATATTGGTTCCTTGCTTGAAATAGGATTCTATACAGCCTCTTCCAAGTGTAGGTTCGTTTCCTATCAAAAGTTATGAAAACAGCCCCCTTAAAGAGGTGTTTTTGGGTGAGTACAATCCATAGCTTTTCAAGGTTCATCAAAGGTTACTATCTAACCTTCAAGACCATGAAATAAGATACTCAAGAACATTTTCCATATTAATTGTCGTGTATAATATCCTTCCTATTCTTTCATGTGATTTAGACCATGAAATGGAAGCTTTAAGGTTCAAACTTACCTTAAGGAGAAAAAAACTGTTTTGCACGTTTGGGTCTGTCTTCGTTGATTTGGAAACCTTCCTCGTATATTCTCTTACCAAGCTGCACCTTTACAGAAACTACGTTTTTAGAGGTTTCCATTGACATATTACACGTTCGATTTGGTTGACAGGAGCTCAAGAAATAGGAGTAACAATCACTAGAATCAATACACAGTTTCGGAATTCAGATTCTCACCTCGATGTATATCCGTCCTTTTTGGGCTGTAAACTCCTCCAATTCTCAAGAATAGCACCTTTTATGAAAGCTCTATTCAATACCTTTCCAAAGACACCTCAAACACCCGATTTGAATAAGTGGTTCTCAAGATATGAGGTGAACAAAACCAACGCTCCCACTGTGCGGCTTAGCGGACAACAGTTTACTTTGCCACTCTCTCGGTCTGTATAACGACTCTTTCTTCTCCAGAAACGAAGCTATGGTGAAAGTACTCTTCAAGAGCTATCCATGGACACCTCAACCACTCAAAATGGATGAGTGTAGCTCAAATAGTGGGAGAGACAAAAACCCCTCGCGAGTTGTGCGAACATAGTACGAAATAGGTTCCCTTTTGCCATTTTCTCTATGTGCAGCCCCCCATACCTTATGTGTCTCTTCCTCCACCTAAAGGACAACCTACCAGGCCTTCCTAAAGAGTGAAATGAGCTGTAAGGGTCGAGATAATAGGATGGAGGGTTAAATTCATCAAAACATTACAACCACACATGTATGGGCCATAGTTTTGTCTCATGTGTGGTGTTTAATTCTCTTCCACAAGTTTGTCCGCCCAAATGTGTGAGAACTGAACATTTTCCTTTGTTTACAGGTCTTCAAGTTGTATGGGATCCTTCCCAAGTGGTCCCAATTGATTTGGGATCAAAATATCTCTTAATACTTCCAAAAGTGGAATAATGAGTTCTATTGTTTTATCTTTTGTCAAAAGATGTATTTTTGTACTCATTATAGTTTATTTAGAACAATTCAACCCTCTACATCATATTATTGATCTCTAATATGTGTAGGGTCATCTCAATAGTTTACATGATGAATATTATAGAAGAAAAACCCTACTCCCATTATTTAGTTCCATAATGTCAAAGATGGGACCGTAGGCATTTGTATTCTTCTCTAATCATCCAATCACTTATTTATGACAACAATATTCATATTGCTGGGCTACTAGCCGTGTGGGTCACCCTCGAGTGGTCCTAGAACTCCATTCTTGAATACTTACTATTTTTAGCCGGTTGGGCCCAAAATAACATTTGGGTTGCCCGACCTTCCTTATTTGGTCTAGGAGGGTTATGAACATTTCTTTACATTGTATTGGGGTCTTATATCTAATAAGATGGCCCAATAAGGTATTTGGAAACCCATCCTTATGATATGGGCCTAAACGATAATACGATTAATCATTCATTACATAAAGCTTTACTCGTTTTACACGTAGTTGATAATAGGAAATTCAACTGTATGAATTGTATTTATTTATTTATTTTTTTAAACCAAAATTCTCAGGTACGTATTTTTACCTTGTGCGGTGTCACAAGGTATGTTTATTATGTAATGGCGTTCCTTAAATTTAGATATATTTAACAAACGATAATATTAAGAGTAATGTAGATGGACTGTAATCAAGATATTTTGAAATTAAAAATTACCTTTCATATATATTATATTTAAAGATTATTATTCACTAATATCAAATATTTGACCCTTATGTTGTAATAAATTGCATATCTCGGGGTAAAATTTACTCTTATGTCATAAATAATTTTTAAATATTAAGGACTTCACTGAAAAAGTGTTCATAAATAGTTCTATATATAATTTAATAAACTATTTTTTAGATAGTAGTTGGTATAATATTTTGTTTCTGCAGCATTACATTTACGGATGTGTTGATTGTTTATAATACCTACAAATTCAATGGTTTAACCATATAGAATTAAAAACAATCTAATTACTTCTTAAATGTATTGATATTAAATTTGCAATAACCATTTTTTTTATAGAATTGCAGCTAGATGAGAAGCAAATAAAGAATTATTGTTTGTTGGAAGTTGAGAAATATCTACAACATCGTGGAAAGTCTCTATTCTACTATGACGGAATGTCTCGAGTAACGGATCTTGACATCCCCTCTCTTGATGATGTTTTGATACACGAGGAATTGAGATATGACAAACATGCTTTGGCAGAGGAACACGATAGATTAATTTCCGCGTTGACAGAGGATCAAAAGCGTGTTTACGAGACAATGGTGAGTTCTGTAGATGCCTACTATGGCGGTGTGTTCTTCTTATATGGACACGGTGGTACAGGGAAAACATATCTGTGGAAGACCTTATCAGCATATATAAGACATCAAGGAAATATTGTGTTGAACGTAGCTTCAAGTGCGATCGCATCATTGCTCCTTCCTGGTGGAAGAACGGCACATTCCAGGTCGGTTTTTAGGTTTAAAAAATTGTAATTTCAAATAAATACTAACACAATGAATTGTAACTTTCAAGTTTAAAATCCCACTCACAGCAGCGGAAGATTCAACTTGCAATATATAGCTAGGAAGTGCCCTTGCGAAGCTAATTCAAATGACGAAATTGATAATTTGGGACGAGGCACCTATGACTAATAAGTACTGCTATGAAGCTCTTGATCGGACTATGAGGGATATTCTTCGACATTCATATGGTTGTGATGGGAGCAAACTGATGTGTGTTTTCTCGCACTTAAAAATGATATAGTAAAGTGGTTGAAAGTACGAGTATCGTCTCCACAGGGACGGACAAAAGGGAATTAAAGATTAACTAAATTCAGCGAATAAAAAATAAAATAAAATAAAATAAAATGCAAGTGTGCGAGATTGATTGATTGAATAAAAATTAAATTAAACTAATGCGAATGAGCGAATAAAATAAATGTTTGGTTTCTTTCTAATTAACGACAAAGGGAACAAGGATTGATTCCGGGGTAATCAGATTTCTGGCAGAACAGGCCTAATTACATGAATTTAATTTAATTGAGCCTAGCTAATCATTACTAAGTTCTTACCGCTCTCGCGGCGTAGAGTACAATAATTTAGGGGACCAGGCTGATCTCTCATGCGACAAGATCCTAAATTATTGCCAAAACGAGCGAGCTTACGGCTCCTTAATCGCTACTAATCTCTTAGCGAACGATTAAGTGTGTGTGAAGGTGTCCTAGAATAAATTAGATCTCTCTTAATTCATTCTACATGCAATTGTAATTCTAGCCGCGGTTCCAGGTTACAAAAGATATCAGTTAAATTATTCAAACACAAATTAAACGGCATTCATGCAATTAAACCGACAAGAATCTAGCCATCAATCATGATTAACCCCTTCATCAATCCCAAATCCCTAATTAAACTACTCACAATTCATAATTGAAGAATCAACAGAATTGGAATGAATAGAAATAATTGTCATTAATTAAAAAGATAGAACTTACAAAGAATCCCTTAATCTTGAAGAACAAGGCTTGAAAAGCTCTCAAAAATCGAAATAGGGTTTATCTCTCTAAGCTCCTCCCCAAAAACAGGCAAAACAGGGGCTTATTTATAGAAAAATCCGAAAACGGGCCGAAAATCAGGCCGCGCGGTCGTCCGCACGTAGTGCGGGTCACCGCGCGGTCACGCGCGCATTTTTCCGTCTTCCGACTTTCGCTCCGCCCGCGCGGTGTGCGGGCGCCGCACTATGCAACCGCGCGGGTACTTCTGGGGGCTATTTCTGGACCGCGCGGTGTGCGGTTTCGGCCGCGCGGTGTGCGGTTTCGACCGCGTGGTGTGCGGTTTCGGCCGCACATAGTGCGGTTCAGACTTCTTGAATTCTTGCTCTCAGAATCACCCGCGGGGCGTGCGGAACCGCACCGCGGGGCGCGCGGATTGCTCTAGAACCGTTTTCTTGCTATTTTCTTCCCCGTTTGCTCCCGGATACTTCTTTAATCAATCCAAAGGCCGTTTCTTCATCAAATCTTCGCCGTGAACCTTCCGGTGGCCTCCAAAACTCTCAAATCTCTCTCGAATGTTCTCCAACTCTTCCCGATTGCTTCTCTAAGCGCCGATGTCGGTCTCTAACTTCTTCAAATCAACTCCAAATGCAATGAAACTCGATCCAACGCCTGCTAAACACAACTTGAGCCAAAATTGAGACTTGCAACGCCTTAAAGCCAGGAAAACCATCAAAATCCGACCCGGACACGCATCACATGCGTGTCTAAATACGGACTTATCAGACTCCCCCACACTTAAGCTTTTGCTTGTCCTCAAGCAAATCGAACAACGGGACTTACGATAATCACCACACGAAATTTAAAATAGTTAGCATACACACGTAGTTAAAGGGATATTCACAGGACAGCCAATCTAAACCAAGAAAATTCTTTCCTAAACTACATCTTTGTACTCAAGTTAAACTATTTGACACAATTATTCACAACATCCTCAAAGTAATGACAGCCTACACAAATAAGCTAGCTACTGATCAGAAGGACTTGTGAATGTGATGGTGAATGGATAATAATGATAGTCCCTTTATTTTGAGAGATCGGAATATTCTAACAAAGACTCAATGCATTCAGGAACTTCAGGGCTATTCCTAGGAACAAGGAACTCAGTAGGCCACAAATTAGGAACAATCATTTAAACCTATGCAAAGAGTAGACATGGTGTACAACTAAGCTAAACCGCCGCGGCACATTTGTGCTTTGACGTAAACTTGAAGTACGCGGAGGACTAAAACTAATTTTTGCAATAGCCTCCAAGTTCAATTAATTAAGTTTAGTTTTCCTTGTCATGTTGGCACGAGAACGCCGTTTCTTTCGAAAGATACCCAAGTCTCATCTTACGCTTTTTGACCGGGGCTCCCATTCTCTTTTTCGCAAAGTAAGAGGTCTAGCTATATTAATTTTTCACCTTTCGGATTCTCACTAGACATTACCCCATTCTAATCTCGGCCTCACCAAGGAAAAATAGCAATTTAAGTTCATTTATTTCAAAGTGAATCCATGCCTACAATGCAATCCTCGAAAGTATCAAATTCCTAAAAAGTGACTGCTCTTACCCCATTTGGGGCATAGGAACAGTGCCAAAAATGGCTCCTACACAAAATTCCCTAAATTTAACAAATTAATCCCTTAATTCCCTAAACATCAAAACTATGTCAGAAATATTCACGGGTAAGGAAACAGGCCATTTGGCTATGGAGCTCAATTAATCGGGTAACAATAAACGGTCAGGCTCAAAATGGCTTCTCCTAAAGGGTCTTTCAGGTGGGGTAGATAATTAATGGAAAATTCAATGGGTGACTAATGCCTTCATCCTCTCAACAACTAGATTATAGTGCAAGCAATTTAAGCCTAAACACTTCAAAGATATTCTAAAAACATAGTCAAAACGCTAGCCAGCTCACAAAGACACAGTTTAAAGAAAAATTTTCAAAAATTTTGCATGAATTTCCTTTGAATATACAACTAACACCTGCGCATGCTAACTCTAGCAAATCACATGTAACAACTACTGCCCGAATGCCCAATTCACTCCCCCACACTTAAACTTTGGCATCGCCCTCGATGACCAAAAATGCACTATGCACAAGGGGTAAAGAGGAAAGGGTCACACATGCTTAACTTAACTCAAGTCATTATTACAACAAGCGAGTAAAAGAGTCAAAGAAACTTTCCTATGGCGCTGGTCGGTGCAGAACTAAACTTAGTCAATGTAATCCTTGGCACATCACCCATATAACAAGACCCTGAGCTGCAGCAAAAACACAAAGCAAAACAACCAAACAACAAAAAAAAACAAAAAAAAAGTAGAGATAAGCTCGGGTTGCCTCCCGAGAAGTGCTATTTTTAACGTCGTATGCCCGACGCAACCACCACATCAAAAACTCAGTCAAAGACACTCCCGCTCAAAAAATTAGTCTTCCACAAATCAAACCTCTTATCATTAAATGCCCTGAGATGGCGTAAGACCTTAAATTCATGAAAACAATTACACATCTCAGGGTTACCCGTAAAGCAACAGAATGGATCGTGGTCTTTATCCGGCCCTTTAGCGAAGAATGGGTCAAAGAATGGACAATTCCCTTCCTTGTCAAAAATTTTCCGGGCTAGAGCTTCCCCTTGTTCGCTAAGTAAATTAAAACATGTAAAATTTTGGGATGGCTCAAGCTCGGGTGTAAAAATGACAGGGGGGGTCAGGATTATTATCAATAAAATCATACTCAAGGTGGAATGGAAGAGAGTTTGGATTTAATGGAGAAGGACTAATAAATAAGGAATCGGGCTGAAAATATTTCTTCTCCACCTTATCTAAATCATCTTCCGTTCCCTGCACAGAACTAGCATCACTTGAGTCCTCCTCTCCACTTATCAAAAGACAATCAAAACTAGGGAGGGGCTCAAGATCCTCTGCTGACACACTATCCTCAAATAAAAGGTCAGAAAGGGCTTCATTAGAAAGCATGTTCGGGGTGCAATCCTCCACCATTGAATCTATGTCATCCAAATAAAAACACTCTCCACTATCCTGACATGGCCTCTTCATTATTTTGGACACATCAAAGGTGGCAGTCTCATCTCCAACACGGAGGACAAGCTTACCGTCTCCAACATCAATAAGTGCTCGGGCAGTTGCCAAGAATGGTCTGCCTAAAATCAATGGTACCTCTCGATCCTGATTCATGTCCAAAATAACGAAGTCTACAGGAATAATAAACTTGTCCACTTTAACCAACACGTCTTCAACAATCCCTAGGGGATATTTGACTGAACGATCAGCCAACTGAATGCACATACGTGTAGGTTTAAGTGGACCGAGTGCAAGCTTTTCGTACAAAGTAAATGGCATCAAATTAATGCTTGCACCCAAATCAGCCAAGGCCCTATCAAAAGAAAGATCTCCTATTAAGCAGGGTATAGTAAAAGAACCTGGATCCTTAAGCTTCTCTGGTAAATCCCTCCTAATCACAGCTGAGCAGTCCACGTTAAGCCTCACAGTGGACGCTTCTTCCAGCTTCCTCTTGTTTGTCAGTAGATCCTTCATGAACTTTGCGTACTTCGGCATCTGTGCTAGTGCATCCACGAATGGAATGTTGAGCTGGACTTGTTTCATGAGTTTCAGAAAATGACCAAACTGGTCACTATCATTCTTCCTAGTCAATCGCGCCGGATAGGGGAGAGGAGGGGTGTAATTTTTGACGGGAACGGGCTGTTTTGGTGCAACTGCCACCTCTCTTCCCTCTTCTAACTCCTTTTCTTCCTCTTGCGCAGCAGGTACGTCATTAACTTCAACGGGCTTCTTTGCAATGGCAGCAGGTTCTAGCTCTTTTCCACTCCTCAAGGTGACTGCATGAACATGTTCTCTTGGATTTGGTTCAGTATTACTAGGGAGGGATCCTAGAGGCCTCTCAGATAAAGCCTTTGAGATCTGCCCCAATTGAGTCTCCATGTTCTGTATCCTTGCCTCAGTTATTTGCATCCTTGAGTCTGCTTGTTGCTGCTCTCGCTGTTGATTTTGCATTTGTTGGTGTTTAAATTGCATCTGTTGTTGTTGAAATTGCAGCAGTTTCTTGAGTGTTTCTTCTATGCTAGAAAATTTCTGCTCAGTCTCTCTCTTAAAGCTCTCTTGCACTGGCTGAGATGTTTGTTGTTGATTAT